TGTCACTTTACATGCCCGTTTTAAATTGTCTTCAATCGGTGAACGTGGTCTTTGAAGTAAGATTGATAATGAAAAACCACCAGAATCCGTTGAAAAGTAATATTGTGTTAGGATACCACGAAGAAGGTATAGACGGTATAGAAGGTGAAGTTTTGGAGAAGGAATTAAAGGTGGACGACAAGGCAATAGGAGATGAGTCTGGCGTTTTGAAGTGAGTAAATGCCAAAGACACTTTCGTAAGAGTAGCAAATACCGCTTGTACGAATTCCTGGAAATTTACAGGTTTTATACTCTTCAGATGATTCTTAATACGCTTGGCGGAAGCCATGATTATTCATCTCACTTAAACCTTTTGTTAACCCTGTTATTTTGTATGACCGTGACGTCTTTGCTGTTTGCGTACAGCGAAGTAACAATTCCCCAATCAACAAAAATTGAAGGTAAGAACTTGTTACAAGCGTTTCATTTCTCTACTGTACGTGTACCACAAAGTAACCATTTGCAATGAATATACAGTAAAGATGGGTACTGATTACAAGCGTTAGTACTGAAAAAATTATAGAATACTAGATACTATCAGCAAAACATCCTTCAGCCTACTATTTTAATATGTATGACGAAAATTCATCACAGGGTGGATACGTATGCCGAAAAAATGACAAGAGCATCATTCTGTTTGATATTTCTGAATCCTTCTTTTTTCGATATTATTAATTTGTTTGTAATTTCTTGACCAGAATATTTGATATAGTTCTTAACATAGTTTATAAGAAAATTAAGCTCAACGAGAGAAAGAGCGAATCACGTAATTTCAATGTAGTTTGCTAAAAATAATGGATCAGTTAGGCGAAAAATAAAGATAATCTGTCTTAAAAGTTCGAATAAATTAAACGCCCAAATGAGAATAAAGATAAATTCACGAGATAAAATTGTATAATGCATTTGTCAAATTGAAGAAGTTGTTAAAACATTTAAATATTGGACAAACATCTTGAGCGGTTGGGCTAATGGCTTTGCAACATACGTTTAAAAAGAAGTAATAAAACCGTTTGTGAAAAGCATATTTTTATTTACAATTATTGTGCATTGAGCTGTGTAAGACTGGTGCTATCATCCCTAACTGATACATTATTCTTGTCCCTCATAAAAAACAAGTTTTTAAGAAAGTAAATAAAACTCCTTCACGATGTAATAACATTTAAATAATTCACACTTTTCTTCTGTTTGAATCTCACTTTGAGGAAACAGATTCTGCATAAAACTGAATTTCGTTTAAAATTTCATAATTTTTTTATTTGATTCTCAGAGCCGCATTTAGTGTATATCTCAAGTTTATTTAAGTATTTTATGCATTTTATTGATTTCGTATATTTCCTTTTTAAATGCATTGTAAATAGGATGAAGTTCGTAAACGCCATAATACAAGTAGTTTAATATTGCCCTTACTTACACAAGTGTAACGTGTAAGTGTACGGAAATATATTAACAGATGTCTTTCCATTAGCACCACATTTTAAAGGGAGTCGATCGTTTTACTTTCTTGCCTTAGGAAGTTCTTCGTAAGAAAAAAAACTAATGTAATCCGGAAAACAGAGAATTATTAAAATTGTTCATCGAGACGAAAGTTATCAAGACGCCCTATCCGAAATTTTTTTGACATTTCTGGTATTCCTCAAAGAGCTTCTTCAACATGTAATGGATATCATATTCATCTTCCGCCAATAGCAATTGGTCGTCAGGAGAACGCAAAGTGAAGAGTTCATCAGGTCCGATTGCGCAAGTTTGTCTACTTCTCTCCAAATGTTAGATATATTTTGAAGGGTGTGGAACGACTACGCATCCTTGTTGCTGACCTTCGGTGACAGGGAATTCTTCAGATATTATTCGACCTATCTTCACACTGCTAGTACTATTAACGAATGGTACTTTCTCTGCTTTTATATATAAGACGCTAACTCCATTTGCTTTCATTGCTAACCACAATTTATAGAGAGGATACTGTTCTAGGCTTTTTATATATGAAGACCAAATGGAATGGAAATGGAAGGTCTCTTGCTAACCGTTTCTCCAGGAGCTATTGTAAACAGTAAACACAATCCATACATGATCTTCCAGCACGAAATCCAATTTTTTCTTCTAGCTCGTGTATCTGATTTTCAATTCTTTGTTTTGTAATTTTGACCCACAGTCTTGAAAGAGAATGAGTCACACATATTCCTCTGTAATTGGAGATACTTGTCTCTCTTCTTTCTAGTTAATGTTAGACATATAAGCAGTTTTCCACTCAGGGAGCACAATTTTATCCCTCAAGAAACAGCTGGAAACATAAGCTAACAGCTCGTGAAGCAAGTGCATCCCATATTTTAAAAGTTCAATGTGGAGTCCGTTCGGTTCAGACGAGCGTCCATTTTTCATGGATCTAAGAGCTCTATTTATCTCATTGACTGAGATGACATTTTCTGTACAAATCTAATCTGTTCTCTTTGTCTGATTGAGTAATGAATTCTCTACGGTCTTCAGTTAACACGTTCTAAATACACACTTTCTACTCTCTGAAGGGTATAAGACTTGTGAGCATAGTCTCTTTTGTGTTTGTTCTAAGAGATTTCAATATTTTCCATGCATCAGTGGCCATTGTATATCCTTCATACTCATCAATAGCCTTACATTTTTTATTCTTCATTTCATTTTTGGCTTTCGTTATTTCTTTCTTTACTTGCCTATAACACTGTGAATAGTATTTCCTCTGCTCATCGTTCCTAGTTCTCAGCCATACATTCTAAGCTTTCTTTTTCTTATTTATGATTTTCGAATTTTTTTTGATTATGTAATTGCGCTCCAGAAAACGGAATTTTTAAAATTTTGTATTGCTTATGAGGACGCTCTATCCGAATTTCTATGACAGTCTATCCTTAAATTATGCAAAGTTATAACAAAATAATTTATCCAATTTTAAGAAAAAAATATTTATATATTTATGTGCTCGAAATTCGGTATTTGTTCTCATTGATACCGGCTTAGGTGATTCAGAACATCAAGTGATGTTACTGCGGTGTCTCTGACCGGGTGTTGCTAGGGTTTGAGTCCAGACGGTGGCACGTTCGACACTTGCTGATGCAGGTTGAATTCAGCCGCTGAGTAGAGGCGAAAAAATCCTAGCGGTCGGCTACTCTGATCGTTAATTTCCCGTGATTGTTCCGATCAACACCAGTCGATTACGGGAGCAGTATTCTAACAAGCGAGTCAGAGACGGCGCGCGATCTTTCCTTCATCTTAATTGTCCTATCCTTACCCGTTATTTACACACACTTGCGTTACTCTCATGTCGGGAGAGCACTCGGGAGCTTAGAGTTTGTACGTGATGGGGCTTTGACCCGCTGATTGGATATTCGTTTGTTCTTTTCAGAAGATTGTCGAGTCAGATTTTGCGCCCGACCTATCTTCCTCATCGGCGCTCCGAGGCGCAGTAGAGAGCAAGGCGCCAGGAACGAGGCCCGCGGGGATCGCGTGGAGGACGGCGTCAGAGGGGGTGAGCGGAGGGGTGGAATGGAGGCCACGAAGGGGTTGGCTGCGGAATGTCAGAGCTCGGAATGTCGTGAGGCGAACGCTGGCGCACGTGCGAAGAATGATATTGAATCCGAGAAAGAAGTTCCCGGGACTAAAAACTGACCGCTGCGTGATATTGGAACGCCCTGCAAATAGAACGTTATGAAAGGGGAAAGAGGAGGGAGAACAGAAAGGTCAACAGTTGTGTGATTCGTTTTCTATGGTATCCCATATTTCAATAAAGAAGTAAATACCTGAACAACTGTTTTGTAACTTGTTCACTAACACGAAAGTTTTTAGAACTTCTTTCTAAAACATTTCGAAAGCTTTAAACACGTCGAGGTGATTCATTACAACACAGATTACCTTGTTCTTATTTTGACAATCGACGCAATTTCTGCCAGTTACATGAGTGATACCTTTTTTCTTGAATATAATGCTTGAGTGAAAAAATATTAATTTATCAACATTTATGAAATTTTGTCATATATTAGAAATAAGCAATGTAAAATATTTTTTCCGAAGAATATATCATCCACAGTATCAAATATTTGGGGTGTAGTATCACGGTTCACACTGTGTCACCTCTGAGTGGTCACCTCATCATAAGAGGTATTGGATTGACAGGTTGGGAAAGGTATCTGGAAAATGTGCACTGGGCGGTATTACCTCTCGGAGAGTCTAATCTACCATATGATGTTTTCCCATCCAGAGAGTTTCGCTACCCAGACAGTATTGCTACACAAAATGTGTCGCCACACATAGTGTGTCACTACACAGAGTGCGTTGCTACACAGAGTGTATCGCTACCTAGAGTGTGTCGTTACTCAAAGTTTGGCGCTACCCAGAGAATGTCACTACCAATAGTGTTTCGCTACCTAGAGTGTTACTACACGAAGTGTGTCGGTAAGTAGTATGTCACTACCCGTAGTGTGCTGCTACTTAGAGTGTATTTGTATTTGTATTTAACCGTTACAGGTCTCGGAAAGGGCAATTGGCCTCAGCGACGTTAGCTCCTCGGGTTCCTGGTCGATCATCCAACCAGGAATCCACGATGTCGCGAATTCGCTTAACCTTTGCGACTTCACGTACTTGACGAATTCAGCTAGCGACGCCGCTTTTGCAGTCTGTAGTCTCTCAGCAGAACCATTCCAACATTCGCCTAGATCACCGAGGGAAACCACGAAAAACTCGCTGAGAATGGCCGACATGGGGATTGAACCCGAAGTCAGCGCAATACTCCCTATGCCACTTCTCTCGGTACACAGTGTGTCGCTACCCAAAATGGGTCGCTACCCAGACTGTCACTACCCACAGTGTGTCGTTACTCAGAGTGTCACTACCCATAGAGATTCGCTAAACGGAGGGAGCTGCTACCCAGAGTGAATCTCTTATACGGCGGACAAGCAACAGTACACGGACCCTACGAAGTGTAAATGCCAGCGCTGACTCACCAGTTGGTAGGTGGTGAGGCCGACCACTTCGATGAGCCCGTCGTCGGTCTGCTGCTCGGCGGCCGCGGCGGCGCGGTTCCACGGGCGCGTGCCGCCGCCGTAGCTGGGGATGTTGAGGAACACGATGGCGTGCACCTTGAGGTCGCGCAGGCGCGCCGTCAGGTCGCGCCCGTCGCACTCCAGCGTCACGAACTCAGCCAGGGCGCGCCACTTGCGCCGCAGCAGGTCGCGCCCGCCCGCCTGCCCGTAGAACATCTTGTTGCGCAGCCGCGAGTTGAACTTCTCCGGGTGCGCCTCTGCAACAAGCAGGCGAAGAAACGGTATTCCTTTTGATATGGTCCATAAACAGCTTGAACTATAATTACATAATTTGTTTATACTTTGAATGTTATTCAATAACTCACAACCTAGAAAATGAGGCAGGGAGAGGCCTGGAAACTTTGGTTTACAAACTTATATCAATAAAGGAGAAAAACATAACTGTCTATACATAAATTCTAGACCATACTCCTGATACAATAAATCAGTCTAGGAGACTAACCTTCTCCTCGGTTTCTTTGTGAATACAAAAAGCTTCACTATAACCGTAAGCTTTCTGACGCTCTTTGCGAAGTTATTGGAGAGTTTACTATTATTTAGTCAGAGGAACAGTAAAATAATCGTTCTCCGTGTTCTCCCGTCAGCGATAGAATCCTTCACAGGGGACGTGATAAGGAATACAGGCCAAAACCTGTACCTCATGCCTTGCCGAAGCTAAGGGTCTGTATTTCACGGAAGCTAACAGACAAATTTATCAAATGTCAAAAACGATCGTTGCTACCTTTATTCATAATTCAACTTAGAAAGTTAAAGAGTTGTAGGAATTCTCTGGGAATATCGTGCTCAGATTGTACTATCCCCCGTACATCACATTTAAGCCTGTTAATTTACATTAATAAATAATCGTTGCTTGATACCAATAAATATAGGTATCAATCGAAAGCAATGGTTAAATCCACCGAGATGGCGTTTACACAAGGTACAAAAACTTTGTTCTCACTTGCTTAAACGTGAAAAGAATTTTGCAGCCTAGGCATTAACAATTTTTAAATACTAACACTTTTTATATTTTTTCTTACAGTTTGAATACTTTTAAATAGTTTTGATAAGAAACAATATTCAGTATAAATATCTTTTATTTTAAAATTCCATCGTAATTTTATTTGGAAAATAACCCCATATATAGTATTTGAGTAACTGCCGTGCGTCTGTGCGTCCGTGTGTCCATCACTCAGGTTAGCCCACTTCCCGTGCACCAATCGAAACATCCACTATGTCATTCGACGTGACTGGGTATACTGGTGGGGAACTGATAATTTACTTTCGGAACCGCCTTCTAAGGTGATTCTAAGGAATTTCCAAAAAACGTGTTTTCGTGTTGATGCCGGGATCTTAGTGAGTAGGCAGGGAATTAAACCAAAGCCTCCTAAATAGATACACAGGTGGCGTTGATTAAACCTATATACAATTTTCGCTCCACGTCGCCAGAATTTTCTTCCACGAGGATGGCAACACTAATTGTTGCCAGTTCTAAGTGGAACAAGTAAGCGTCAGAACTGTCAATAGTTGTGCAGTTTTTAAAGGAAGGGAAGTGTTTCATCCGTATTACAATATTTTTAACAAATTTGCAAACGTTTACCTACGCTTTTATCTTAGAACTTATTAAATTTGAAGAACGTCAAGTGAAAACCTCAACTTTCAGTAATGCCAGAGAAATAAAAGTACTTCGACTTTGCTCCTTTACTTTTTTAAGCGTGATATTCAATAGAACGTGTCTCAATATATATATATATATATGCGTGTGTATATATACATACATGCATAGGGTCTTTTGCTTAACTCGCAAATCATCTCTGAGAGCACTTGTTCATATTTTGGCAATTTTGCAATCGAGTGTATTTAACAGCCGTGTCTGTCACGTCGTGACAGCTTGGAAGGAGCTGACCGTCCGGTCATAAGCTGCAGCAACTCTTCTGTTCCTGTGTTATTCCCATTCAAGAGCTTAGGCGGGCAGGTACGCAGCTCTCACTCAGCCGGAAGCTTTTCGCGCTGCGCAGCGTGGGTGGGTGGCGTGGGCTGAGGCACGAGCGGGGAAACAAAAAGGTCTCTTTAGGCAATTTTGTCCGGTATGCTTAAGAAAATAAAGTGTAATACAGAAGATGTGGAGAAAGGTTATGACTGTTTATCAATTTATTGACACATAAAACTTAACCTATAAAATAATAAAACATAAATGAATAGTAAATTAAAACTTATTGAAAATAATTAATAAAAATAATAAAATATAATTTCCTTAAAATGACCAAAAACTGAGTAAATGCTCAAAGTGACCACCATTTGCCTTTGCCAAGAGACAGGCGTTTACTAGGCGCGGATCCACGGAAAGGGAAGTGAGGGAAACCCCCTAAATATTTTCAGAAACGTTCAAGCAAAAATGTTTTTTTTAATTTAAGGTCGCATCACTTACTAGGTCATTAGCGGCCACTACTGCTTGTAACGGTATGGTAACTATGAGGATGACACGATATTATGATGATAGGAGTGTGAAAGGACGAACACAATACAACCATGACTGAGGCGAGACTCGAACCTGCGATCCTTCGGTGGAAGATGTCGGTGAGAGATCGCTACTGCCCTAATGCTTTAAGCAATCTTGGCCATACAAACTGGCAAAAACGTTAAAACGAATAACATCGTATCGCATGAACTGAGTGCACAAAAGTCATACAAAATCCGGAATATGACCCATTCGACTAAAATATTAATTACCCCCCCCAAAAAAAATTGGTCTCTGAATCCGCTCCCTGCGTTACCTTTTTTCACTGTAGTGGCTGCAGTTCGTTGAAGACTAACAAGGACCAAATACGTGCTTTTTCTTTCTTCCCACTAAAATTAATCACATTCTTTCCCTTTCTTTCCCTCCGAAATCTGAGGACACGTGGCCGTGAGCCGCTAAAAGTGAAAGGGATGTCGAAGGTATTTCATACCCTGCCAAATTGCCGAAACAAGAGATGGTGTTTCCAGTCTTGGATTGCGAGTTAAGCTATATATATATATATATATATATATATATATATATATATATATATATATATATATATGTATATCACCTACAAAACGTTTAAGAGAAAAATATTACAGAATTAGAAGTGAACACAAATCAGACTGAGTATGTAGACTTTTAAACACACCAAAAATGGACAACAAAATAGAAGTGTTAAGCAAATCGGGAGAAGAATCAAATGTCGTACAAGATTTTGTAACAGAATTTTCGAAACTAATTGAGAATGATCTTATATTAGGATTAGAGAAAAATGCTAAAGAACAGCAACCATGTGACCTTTTATATACATTTTTATGCAGATTAGCAAAAAATCGTACAAAGTGTACCTATACTAAATTCTAACTCTTCGCATTGTCGATACTTGGGAGAACTTTTTATTGAGATTTCAATTTTGAAATTGCTTTAAAACCAGCTCATATCCCGTATGGAGGTAACATGCAAGGACATTGGGTGTTGGGAATTTTGAAGTATAACATTTGTCAACTCCAATTAAAAAATATCCGTTTTGATTATATTGAGTCAAACATTACTAAGCCTTGTGATTATAAGAACACAAATGCTATATTAATCCATGATCCACTATTAACTAATCTAGTAAGATTAGTAATAAGTGTTATTAAAACCAAATGTTATTAGGACACTGTGTTTCAAATAATCAATCATGACTTTTTAATAATTATCCCCATCAGTCTGTCATCTTTTGCGGAATGAGTACTAAAACTTTGAATAAAAATGAAGTAGGTTAATTGGAATTTGTACAAAGTAGATGAAACTTTCAATATTCGTCTTGTGGTATCTTATTACATACTCGATTGAGTATCGATTTCGCTCCAACCGTCTGTTTGATAGTTCTAGAATATCATTCTGCAATAATATTTTTTGCCTATTTTGTAAATCGCTATTATTACCATCCGTTCTATATTTAAAAGATTGCTTACTGACTTCAGTAATTTTGTTTTCAATAGAAACCCCAACAATGTATATTTCTGTAAGACGTCATGCACGTCTGGAAAACAAGCTTCAAACGTTCTTTATCGTTTCCGTTGTTTGAACGTGATCACAAATATCAGAACCCCTAAAGAAATATCTTCAAGGCCGGAATATTGACCTATCTAGTCTTAACATCTTTCCATCAAATTATTCAGGCACATGGCCAACAGAACCAGTCAGCAAATGGAAGCTCCGTCCTACCGCTCTTGACGCCCTCTACTAACGGACATTCGAACGAGAGTGCTCTCTGCGATCTCCGCTCACCATCTGCTTAGGGCCGTGCGACTCGTTAAAATTTCAGCGGCCGTACGACTGGCTTTTATTCTGGTGGACTTTTTACTACACTCTTTTGGTAATATTGACACGCTTGTGTTGTTGGAACAATGAGTAAGAGAATTCGACGGGAACAAAGCGCAATTACCTTCATATTTTTGTTTCTCGAACCCAATGGATAAGAAGACGTATAAACAATTTTAATTTAAACATATGCGTAATTCGTGTGTACTAAAACATTAAATAATTTTTCGAAAATTTAACCAGTTCAACGAAAGTGAGACCTGCACTATTCAATTCAGGGTTCCTTGAAAAAAAATTGTGAAAAGAATGAAGGAAATGTTTTTTGTGTTTTTGAGAAAATGTTTTTTTATAAATTGCATCAAATTGAAGCACAAATTACGAATAAAATTGTACCTAATATTTTTACTTTCTCGTATACGTATGAATATATGGAGTAATATACGTAGTAAAGAGAAAGTTGTGTAATGCTGCGGAAAATCGATTTCAAGATTTCAGCGGAAATACACGTGTTGGGGTCCGCTGATATCGAAAAAAGAGTTTTTCTCTAAAAGTCCATCGGTCCGTCTGTCCATCCGTCTGAATTCCAGACATTTTCAAAACTTTCTCACAAACGGTTCCATTTTTTCTTTAAATGTCTTGTAAGAATTGATATACACTTATAAATGTGGAATACATCCAATTTTCACTGTTATCTCTGAGTTTTCGTAAACTTTGAATTTTTCGGACATGTTCAGACAATAACTAAACTGAAGATTGAGATTTTTCCTTCTAATTAAATTTGTTCTCCATAGTGAGTTCGTTCATTAAGGTAATTATGATCAATTTTAGTAGCTTTCACGCAAATAGTGCAATATGTGCAATATTATAAAACAACAAAACTATTTTCTCGAAAATGGCTCCATATTT